ATATGTTTGTTTCTGAGGGGAAGGTTTTTTTATGATTCTTGTGAAATAACCTTCAATTACTCACAGTTTATCGTACGGTGACACTTTGTCATTCGTTTGTCCGTAACCAGACAGTTTCATGGCTGACCTCTGCCCCCTCAGTACTGAGGGACTGCCTGCAGTCGCTCTCCAACCCCGATGACCTGAGGTCTCTCCTGCAACACCATAAAAGCCTCGAACACCTCGGTGCACAAGGTAAAAGAAACAGATGGCTTCTCATGTTTGTTTGTTTTTAGTTTTGTTGTCATCAGCCAAAGCATGGCTAAAGACCAGAGGTGGTAAACGCACTCTGTACTCCAGTAGAGGTACAGAAACCTGTGTTAAAAACCACTCAATTAGAAGTATCAGTTCTGTTTCAACCTTTTTGTCAAAGTGTTAAGAGTACAGGCTCTGAATGTACTCGCAAGGCCATTTCTACCTGTTGTATCTGTGCAAAGCAAACTGAGACTCGTGTCACATTAAAATAGTTGGAAGACCATTAAAAATAAACCACTCTTACTTCCAATAATAAAAAAAAACAATACACTAAAAACAGGGTTATGGCAAGATGTGTTGAATGAAGTGTTTGAATAGGGGTGTTGGGAAGGAGGTGCTGGATGATGCAAAATAAAGCAATTTGCCTCAACAAAAGTAAAAGTCATCAAAAATAAAGTTATTTACAGAAACATAATTTAAGAAGTGTTTGTACTTTGTTACTTCCCACTACTGCTGTTGCTGTATCATCCTCTTGCTGAGGTATTTTAGGAAAATGACTAGAGTGGACACATTTCCTTAAAAGTAGTCAGCTTAATGTGGTCACGGAGGCCGGAAAACACGTGAAAGTGACTCGTGCAGTAACCTGACAAACTGTGTCGGTATTTTAGGAAAATTATTGAACAGCTCATTTGTCTATATCTTCTGTTATTCTACAGGAACCACTGTTGAGATGTCCACGCAGGTCTTTGCCTGCTCCGAGTGTGCATTCTTCCACATGCAGGAGTCCTACCTGCTGCAGCACATCGAGCACAGTCACCCAGAGCAATACGGCAAGTTCCAGAAGGCTGCGACGACGGCCGACGCCCCAAAGAAGAGGGTCCAGTGCCCTGAGTTCCCAAAGCCTTTCCCCATCCATGACAGGCCCGACCCCCACACGTGTCAGGAGTGCGGCAAAACGTTCACCCGTGCCTCGGACGTGACTCGTCACCAGCGGACGCACACCGGAGAACGTCCCTACACCTGCGATGAATGTAAGAAGGGCTTCAAGAACTCTTGGGATCTGACAAGACATCAGCGCATTCACAATGGAGAACGGCCCTTCCTCTGCCCCCAGTGTGGCAAACGGTTCACGCAGATGGGTTTGCTCAAACTGCACTTTAAGCGAACAGCCTGCGGACAGACATGCAACCCTCCCTTAGACTTAACGACAGAGGTCGTAGTCGCTGAGGAGACATCAGAGAAAGCCAGCGGTCAGTACAAATGTCAGAAATGTGGCGAGAGCTTCGACAGCATCCTGGAGCGGCTGAGGCACAGGCAGGGACACGTGGTTCGGCGTCAGTACAAATGCTCCCTGTGTGAGAAGATCTACAGCCGAGCGTCGGATTTAAAGAGACACCAGATGAAGCACACGGGTGAGCGGCCATTTTCCTGCGAGTGTGGCAAAAGCTTCACCCACGTGTGGCTCCTGAATAAGCACCAGCAGATCCACATCAAGGAACGTCCTTACCCGTGTTCAGAGTGTGGGAAGAGCTTCACGCAGGTGCAGATTCTCAACAGACACCTGCTGACTCACAATGGCCAGCAGCCTTTCCAGTGCTCCTCCTGTGAGAAGAGCTTCACGCAGCTGGCCAGCCTCACACGCCACGAGAGAATCCACACAGGCGAGAGGCCGTACGTCTGCTCCACCTGTGAGAAGACGTTCCTCACGCAGGGAGAACTGGGCAGACATCAGCGCAGCCACAGCAACTTCAGGCCATTCAGTTGCTCGCAGTGCCCCAAGAGCTTTAAAACCAAGCGTGCTCAGAGCGAGCACCTCAATACGCACACGGGCGAGCGTCCGTTTACGTGCTCGCGCTGTGGGAAGAGATTTGCCAAGTCGACCTCCCTCATCCGGCACAACCTGACTCACACAGGAGAGCGACCGCACCAGTGCTCTCAGTGCGGAAAGACCTTCCTCACGTCCGGCGAGCTGCTCCTCCACAAACGGATCCACACGGGAGAAAGGCCGTACCCCTGTTCCTACTGCGAGAGGAGGTTCAGGTGCTCGTCCGACCTCAACACGCACATCCGGACACACACCGGGGAGAAGCCGCACAGCTGTCTGTTGTGTAAAAAGAGTTTCTCTACATCTACAAGGCTGAAGAGACACGTGCGTATACACGGAGAAGGGCTAAAAACAGTGTAAACACGTAAAGTTTGAGCTGTCAGGAGGCGATACTGTATTTATGGAAACAGTGCGATTATTATGATAAAAAATAAAACCATTGTTTAATTGTCATTTTATATTATTTATGGTTGTGTTGATCCTTTTATAATCTTTGAAAAAGTGTTACGTCTGGTTTTGTGAAGAGAAGTGATTTCCTTCTTGCTTAAAAATATAGGTAGTGACATTAATTTTGCAGCTTACAACGATTTCACGCCACAGAAGAAGAATCAGATTTAACAAGTGAAAACCTTCCAAACAAATAGCTGTTTCAGAGCTCAGAGGGTTTTTATTAAGAAGAATCAAACCAATGTGGTGCTTGTAGACTTGGACATCTCAACAGTCAATCCATCCAGCTGGGGTTTGTGGTTCATAGCCTGTTTTTGTAGCTCCAATGATTCACAAAAAATAGATGCATGTAAAAATGTTATGTATGCTATCTGTCCTGTCAATCGTATTTATCTCTGATATCACAATTATTTGAAGTCAGCAAGTCCAGGATATGTTACAAATAATGATTTATGTCATGCATCGTGCCCAGTTTAATTCCACATGATGACACATGGTGTAATCACAGGTTTTTATATCGGTTGGAATTGGAATTGCAGTGTTTTCACAGTGCGAGTTCCTCAGTATGTACGTTCTATTAGTTGTTTCCAACCAAGAAAATGTGTTCCATCTAGACTAGATAACTGTAATTCTTTATTATCAGGATGCCCCAGGAAGTCTGTAAAAAGCCTCCAGTTGGTCCAAAATGCCGCAGCACGAGTGCTGACAGGAACTAGAAGGAGATATCATATTACTCCTGTCTTAGCTTCTCTGCATTGACTCCCTGTAAAATTCAGAATAGAATTCAAGATCCTGATCCTCACATTTAAAGCCCTTAACCATCAACCCCCTTCATTTATCAAAGAGCTCATAACACCATATTATCCAAAGAGATCACTTCATTCCCAAAACACAGGCTCTGTTGTGGTTCCAAGAGCATTCAGCTACCAGGCTCCTCTCCTGTGGAACCAGCTCCCACTCTCTGTTCGGGAGGCAGACACCGTCCCTGCTGGATCAGGTGAGTCCTGAACTCCCATCATCCACTGAGCACTTCTCTCTGTCTTTCTGTTGACCTTCTATGTAAAGTGCCTTGAGATAATGTATATAATGATTTGGTGCTATACAAATAAAGGCAGCAAGACCACTTATCCTCACAATGTCCACTTGCAAGGATGAGTGGTTTTGAAAAGAAGTGTCTGAACACGTGGAAGGAGAAAAATGTCAGTTGAATGATGCATGATTGGAGTTCCTATGGTTTAGTTTCCACTCTGACTTTGTTTGTCCAGATGTTCATTACATTTTCAGATTGTAAATAAGCTCATGTCTCCCCTCTTTTGTTCTGTCCTGAGCCTGGTTGGGACAAACTCAGACACACACAAACACACACACACACACACACACACACAGAGGTGTTAAATATTGTCCCTCATTGTTGTGCTGTATATCTTGTGACTGCTGCTATAATCTCGACAGTCTCCCTCTCTAGTCTTGGATACTACATCCTCTGGTACCAGGGTTGCACAACTCTGAGGGTGGACGAGCTGGAGGAACCTGTGGCATGGGCGAGGTTTGAGCTAAGGAATGGTGGGGGGGGTGAACTTTGTGATACTCAACATGCATTTCGACAGTTTGTCACCTATTTGGGGTGTATCGCCCTTTGAAAATGTCATCAGTAAGATTAATTCCTGTCCAGGCTGTGATTTGTTTTCAAATCATTCGAATAATGTTTCAGGCACTGCAGTGGGCCTCCACCAGATACCGCCGTGCTGCTGATTCCTCACAGGTCGACCTTTCGGGAGATTTGAACAAAGACTCCCGGCTGTACTCGGCTCAAAGTTCAAGACTCGTGGAGACAAAGCTTATCCTGTCCTGACTCCTACATTATTGACCAGTCTCTGTTTAAATCATTTTACTGATGCTTGTACTTTGATTTGTTCCTATTTCTCTGCATATTTTGTAAAATGTAATTTAGCAACTGCTCTCATCTTGTTTCAGTGAATGACATTAGTAATGTATATATACAGCCACACACAAGTATCCACACACAAGTAATCTTACAATTATTTGTATACCTTTGCTTTTATTATTGGCCGTGTATTTGCTGTACTGTGTAGCACAATTGGTATGATATCAGATCTCTGGTCTCCATTAGCATTTTCCATAGTAACTGAACGTAAACTACAACACTGTATAAACTTGTGTTTCCAATATTACAACGATCAGTTATCACGTGGTCATCACATGGCCTCTCGTTACAGTGCGAGTTAAATGTCGAACTTCCCTCCGCGTTTCCCGCCGGACCGCTTATCTGCGGGGACTTCCTGTCCCACCCACATTCTCGTGTCGCTTCCGGGTGGCCACACAAGACCAGCAGCGAGTTGTCGTTATCTCCGCGCTGTCAACAAAAGTTACCGAACGGCCCAGCTCCCGCCACACATTCAGCGAAAAGACATGCATATCAAAACAGGTGAGTTTGTGCAACTTTCGCGACGCGTTCGACGGGACTCCGCCACTTTGTCGGGCGGTGAATCCGCTGCCTCGCCGCGGTGCTAGCTGCCCCCGCTAGCGGCGTCGATAGCTGCCCGCTCGCCGCTTTGAATGGGGGGTTACGAAACTTTGGCTCGGGCTAACATGCTAACTAGCGTCGAATGTCTTCATGTGGGCAAAATGGAAGCGTCCCCTCGTCGACGCTCGCCCTGGTCGTCGAGTAGTCGTCGAACAACGCGACTCTTGTTTGTAACGACATATGAGCGAGAGCATTGACTTTGACTCGACGCACAATGACGCTGCTAATTAAAGTTTGCTAACACCGGTGTCGGCTGCCAGCCCCGCCGCCTCCACGCCAACCAGAAGCTAACCTAGCTAGTAGCTCCTCTGACCAGGTACCGTGGAACCTGGACACAGTCTCTACACATTTCTGCCGATGTGTAAAAACTGTCTTTTTGTCCCAGTCCACTTCGTAACCAAACTATTTCCACCAGCTGATCATCCGCGTTAGTGACGAACTTTCATGTGTGGCTGACACATGAAACTGAAGTTAAATGTATTCTTTGTTTCAGTAACATAAGCGTGTGTATATATGTATNATAACAGTGCTGACTTGATAGTTGTGTAGTCTGTAATACAAATAATTTAAAAGCCTGCAGTTGTTTTGTGGACAGTTAATGAAGTTGTAACAATGAGTCAGTCAAGTGTTATCAGCTCATCCTGATTGTGTATTATTGCCATTTACATCTTGCCCTTTGTTTTTTCAGATCCTAATAGGATTGTGTGGTACAAGGAAACCCAGGAGCACCCAGCCTAGCAGTGTGAGGAACCCAAAGCAGACCCAGACACACGCCTACATGCACATGAAAACRTGGACAAGTTTGTGAGTCCTGTACACACACTGCACTCAGGTTGATKTCTTCACGCAAAGCCACACTGAGACACTTTGAACTAACTCCTCTGAGACCTTGCAGCAATGGACTTTTTTAATGCCTTACAGAGAGCCTGCCTTAATTAATCACATGTTTTCATTCTCATGACCATTTTTAGCTTGTATGTGTAGAGCTGGTGTTTTGTCCTTGAATCTCTGAGGAGGTCTAACTTAATTTGTCTCCCATCCTGAAAGCTGCAGTTTTATCAAACTTTTTCTTTCCTCTGTAAAAGCGAGTGGTCAATCAAGCACTTTGTGGAGAAAAAAAAATCTGTTGTTACTAATCCCTTTGTGATCTCACGAGAGTGATTTACACCCATCCTCAATTTTGAACAGAAAGTGTTGTATGTGCAGATGACTTGTTTATCTGTGTCTTCAGTTTACAGAGGAGTGTAGTCAATGGCACAGTAAGAGTTCACCCTTTACCCCTGTCAGATGTTAATGCTGTGTCCCTTTGTTTTTATTTGGTTCCCTAATTGGGTGAATGTTCCTCATGAATCCATTAAAGATGTCACCATGTTGATTTTTGAAAAGAAAATTTATTGAATAAAGAATTTACACTGGAGAAGGGGGAAAAATGTAAATGTATGGTAATGCTCAATAAAATGGATAAATGTGATTTATTGTTGTTGTAGTCATTGTAAGCCTCAGGATCGCCATGTCACATCCACTTCATCTGTGCGGTATCTACAAAGAAGAATACACAGAGTTCAGGTCAAAGCGAGGTAGGCAGGGAGATGGGTAGGTAGGGAGGTAGTTGGTAAGTAAGTAGTGAGATAGGGTGGTAGGTAAGTAGGGAGATAGGTAGAGCAGTAGGTAGGGAGGGAGGTATGTAGGGAGCTAGAGTGGTAGTTGGTAGGTAGAGAGGGAGGGAGGTAGGTAGGGAGATAGGTAGGGAGCTAGGGTGGTAGGTAGGGAGAGAGATAGATAGATAGGGCGGTAGGAAGGGAGCTAGGGTGGTAGTTGGTAGGTAGGGAGATAGGGCGGTAGGTAAGTAGGGAGATAGGGAGGTAGGTAGGGTGGTGGTAGAGAGGGAGGGAGGTAGGTAGGGTGGTAGGTAGAGAGGGAGAGAGATAGGGCGGTAGGTAAGTAGGGAGGGAGGGAGGTAGTTGGTAGGGAGCTGGGGTGGTAGTAGGTAGGGAGAGAGGGAGAGAGATAGATAGGGAGGTAGGTAGGTAGGGAGCTAGAGTGGTAGTTGGTTGGTAGGTAGGTAGGGAGACAGGGCGGTAGGTAGGGAGATTGATAGGGAGGTAGGTAAGTAGGTAGGTAGAGAGAGGGAGAGAGATAGGGAGGTAGTTGGTAGGTAGGTAGGGAGGGTGGTAGTTGGTAGGTAGTTAGGGAG